ACTGAGCCACCCAGGCGCCCCAAGGATAATATTTTTAATGTTACAATAATGATGTTGACATTTGTGTAAGTTTATCTGTTAGGCCTGATCTTAATTCAGTAGAAAGTAAAACACGCTCAACTTTTGTGGGTGAGAAATTTCAACGGAAATAATGTGTTCTTGTAAGTTTTGTGATTTTCATGATTTTGTAATTGGAAGAAAGTATGGGCTAGGACCAAAATTTTGTTTCCATAGTTCCATATCAAACATTAAATTTAACTGGGCACCCAGCAAAGAATGGAAAGGGGCTAAAACGGATTCATTCTCTCTTGAAAAATGCAGTTTTGTTTTTTTTTTTTTTTAAGATTTTATTTATTTACTTGACAGAGAGAGAGATAGTGAGAGAGGGAACACAAGCAGGGGCAGTGGCAGAGGGAGAAGCAGGCTTCCTGTGGAGCAGGGAGCCCGATGCAGGGCTCGATCACAGGGCCCTGGGATCATGAGCTGAGCCGAAGGCAGACGCTTAACGACTGAGCCACCCAGATGCTCCCAGACAGGAGATCTATGCAGAAACTGAAGATGGTGGGAGTTAGGCAGAGGAAGGGCAAAGAATAGCCCAGGCTGATGAAATGCACTGAAGTTTCAAGAGACCCAAAGCAGGGCTTCTCAGACTTTGACATGCATGGGAGATTACCTGCAAATTGCAGTACTCGTCCTCTTCCGTAGGTCTGGGGAAGGGTCCGAGCTTCTGCCCCCAGGTGATAGCAGCACTTCGGGTGCGTGTACCACATTGAGCAGCAAGGACAGAAAGCAGCTATGGTGAAGACTGACTTGGTGTCTACAGGGTGTGTCTCCTTCACGGCTGGATCCCTTGCACCCAGCATGCCTGACACATAGCAAATTCTCCCCCAAACTCATGGAGTAATTACATAAATATGTAAATCGATAAGGGGTGACCATTGAGGCTGGAGAGATTAGGAAGGGCCAGTAATGCAGCCACATTAAAGAGTTTAGAATTTGTCTTAACATTGTTTGGGGGGCACCTGGGTGGCTCAGTCCGTTAAGCTTCTGCCTTCGGCTCAGGTCATGACCTCAGGGTCCTGGGATCGAGCCCCGCATCGGGCTCCCTGCTCAGTGGGGAGTCTGCTTGTCCTTCTCTCGCTCCCTCTACCTCCCTCCCCCCGCTCGTGCTCTCTCTGGCTCTCTCGTAAAATAAATAGAATCTTAAAAAAGAAAAAAAAGCAGTGTTCGGGAAAGAGGGCGGGGGTGAGGGGTGTTAAGTATATAATCAGATTTACATTTTAGAAA